CAATTTTTGAGATATCTGAAATTCACTCACGGCATCTTACTTAGAATCGATTGTAGTTGTTTGTGGTGATTTTGCTTTCGTTTGTAGTTGCACCGTTTAAAAGTTACAACAAATTTGCAATAAACAAATTACGTAACTTCCGTAATTTTTGAGATATCTCAAATCCGCTCACGGCGTCTTACTTAGAATCGTTTGCAGTTGTTTGTAGTGATTTTGCTTTCGTTTGTAGTTGCACCGTTTAAAAGTTACAACAAATTTATTTCTAAGTAAGATGCCGTGAGCGGATTTGACATATCTCAAAAATTGGCGAAGTTACGTATTTGTTTATTGTAAATTTGTTGTAACTTTTAAACGGTGAAACTACAAACGAAAGCAAAATAACTACAAACAACTACAAACGATTCTAAGTAAGATGCCGTGAGCGGATTTGACATATCTCAAAAATTGGCGAAGTAACGTAATTTGTTTATTATAAATTCGTTGTAACTTTTAAACGGTGCAACTACAAACGAAGCAAAATCACTACAAACAACTACAAACGATTCTAAGTAAGATGCCGTGAGCGGATTTGAGATCTCTCAAAAATTGGCGAAGTTACGTTATTTGTTTATTGTAAATTTGTTGTAACTTTTAAACGGTGCAACTACAAACGAAAGCAAAATCACTACAAACAACTACAAACGATTCTAAGTAAGATGCCGTGAGCAAATTTCAGATATCAAAAAAATTGGCGAAGTTACGTAATTTGTTTATTGTAAATTTGTTGTAACTTTTAAACGGTGCGACTATAAACGAAAGCAAAATCACTACAAACAATTACAATCGATTCTAAGTAAGATGCCGAGAACAGATTTGAGATATCTACAAAATTGGCGAAGTTACGTAATTTGTTTATTGCAAATTTGTTGTAACTTTTAAACGGTGCAACTACAAACGAAAGCAAAATCACTACAAACATCTACAAACGATTCTAAGTAAGATGCCGTGAACAGATTTGGGATATCTAAAAAATTGGCGAACTTACGTAATTTGTTTATTGCAAATTTGTTGTAACTTTTAAACGGTGCAACTACAAACGAAAGCAAAATCACTACAAACAACT